CCAGGTGAGAGATGGTCACTAAAATGAAGGGTTTGGAAAAAAAGATATTTGGGGGAAAAATGATGTCAAAATGGTTTTAGGACAGACTAGATATGGTGCTGAAGGAGGAGACAGTTTTTAGAAAGAGGTCAAGAGGTCCAGCTGAGCAACTAATAGATGGAGGTACAACTTTTGAGACAGAAAACTCAGATTTGAAAGAACCTCAAGTGTTCAATGGTAGAAAATTTTAAGACTTTTTTTTTTTTTTCCCTGGGGGGTGTGAGTAATCAGAATCCAACTACAAATGAAGATGAGATCTATTAGAAGAATGATGGGATATCTCACAAAATTCAAGGAAGAAATGATATCCTGGAAGAGAAGAATCAGGGAACTCAAAGATCCAGACAGCAGGAATCTGTTGATCTTCCAGGCTGTGATGTTATTCTAACTCGGTTCAGCAGCTTCCAGTTTCTGAGTCTCAACAGCAAATGCCAAATATGGGAAGAGACAATCTGATCGGTCTGGTTTAGGACAGAGGCCCACTTCTCCAATCCACAGTGGGTGGGGAGATAGGACCTTATACCACAATACAGCCACTCCAGGCTCACCCATGTTGTTTGGTTGTACTTCTGAAAGAAGGCTGTGAGTTGTGAAATGGGAAGACACCCCAAATGTCTCCAAATCTACATATGCAATCTCATTTAGCCTTTGCAACAACCCTCTGAGATTGATCCTGCTATAACCGCACTATGGAGAAGGACCCAGAGAAGGAAATCAGCCTCTAAGGCGACACAGTTAGTAGGTGGTAGAGCTGTGAGTTAAACCCATGCTGGTCTATAGTGCCTTCCAAGTCCAGTGGATTCAGTCTACACTCACAGCTACTCAAAATGCACTCTCTCAGCCTTGGCCTTATTATGCAGTATGCTGAGCACTCCAGAGAAAAGAAAAGAGATTTGGTTAAGTTTAATTATGTTCTAGTTGATTCATCAGACTTCTGGAATCTGAAATTTATGCCTTTCCACAGATGGTTAACATGATGATTAGAAGGATAAAAGAGCATCCACCCAGAGATAAACGTAAGGTTGGTTAAAGCAGCACGATTGCTTCTATTTCCAAGCTTGGCCCAACGTTGTGACTTTCGGAGACCAAAAACAAGAGTGAATATCTCCTTCTGAAGCTGTCACACAAACTGTCCACAGTTCTTTCTGTGAATCCTGTGATAGATAGATGAGATTCATCTTGACTGAAGCGGAAAGAATGGAAATCCCTCCATCAACATCAGAGGGAAAAGACTGATTACACATAATAAAATATCCTCCATAGCACATCATACTCCCCTTTGTGTTAAATGGATTTGTGAATGGCAGCAGGAGATATATTAGTTATATTACAGAGAACTCCTAAACATGCGTACTGGGTTGACTGAAGTCTCCTCTACAAGAATATAAACTCTCTAAGCGCAGGTGCTGTCCTGTTCATTGCAGTATCCAGGGTCAAAACCAGTGTCTGGCATGTGATATCCAAATGCCTAGAACATGACTGAGGAAAGAAGGAATGACTAGAATTGCCCAACTGTTGATTTCTAGGTGTCATTTTGTGAAATTCTTTCTTCAAAATTTTCTATGTTTATGACACCACAATAAAGACAAGCTTCACCCACACAGAAAACATTAGAAAGTCAATAAGGTTGAACACAGAAATAGGCGAATCATCCAAAGAACATATTATAGGTGTTTGCTTCCATAATTTTCTTGGTTTACTTTACCAACTTTTATCCTTCCCATCTACTATCCTAATAGCACTTACATATGGATGGGAGTGGAAAAAGGGTAGATAAAAGCAAGTTGACAAAAATAAACAAAAACTAGAGGAAACCATCTGCACTGTGTCCGCAAACCAGGAAGAGTGCTCTTACCAGAACCCTACCAGCTGACACCCCCATCTTGCATTTCCAAACCCCAGAATTGCACTGGACATGATTTCTGTTTCCATCACCCAGAAGCCACCCGATCTTGACCACCCTCCCGCCTCTTCCTTCGGGATCCACAGCGCACCACCTTTAAGGAGCAATGGGGGGACGTGGAGAGCAGCGACACAAGAGGCTGAGTTGAAAGAGCTTTGCACACACTTAATGAGGAACTCCTGGGAGTGAGGAGGCTGAGGCCCAGCAAAGCCATATTCATTAGCTCTCTAGGATATACTGCTACACACTTGAGTATGAAATCCACTGCACCAAGCCCATCCTTGGGAGTAGAAAATGACATTGTGGCATGATAAATTAAGTATGTCGGTGGCCTGAAATCCTAAGTACATCCCCACAAGGACCTTCCTTTTTACCACAGTGGGGACCAACTCGACACTGAACAGCAGAAACAGAACTTTCAGAAAGCCCATACGGTCATGTGGGCCCCAACTCAGAATTTTTCATTCCAGGACATCTGGAAGCACTGAAGCTGTAGACTTTTCCATCTTGTACCAAAAGACATAAAATGACCTGAAAAAGGCAGCAGGATCAAAGAAAATGAGGGAAAAGCAGAGGCAACAAGAACAATTAAATAAAAAAAAAAAAATCCCTTCGTTTATCTGGATATTTCAAGGCATTGCAGTAAAGATTCCCTCTATCAATTATTTACAAAATTTGTTTTTCACCAGAGCCCTTTCTTCGAACATACAGTACATTTAACCCTGATTTACGTAACAGGAAAAGACACTGCTGGAGTCCGGCCCCACAGCCTTCTTCAGTGACCCCGAGGCCCCTGTGGCATCACTAGGAAGCCCCACAAGTATGCCAAGGGCAGCGTGAGCAACTGCCATTCCAGAGAGGATTTCCTTCTTCATGCTCATCGTCCCAGACAACAGCCGAGAGAACACAGCAAAACCGGCGATTGGTTTAGGTTTGAGTCCGTTGAGGTCCCTAGACTATGTTTGAAAAGATCAGCATGTTTAATAGATACATAATGATCCAGAATTTAACCCCCTTCCCCCCAAAAAAAGAAAAAAAGAAAAGACAAGACAAGAAAGGAGGAGGAGAAAAAGAGTCCGAAAGCAAAGAGGAAGAAGAAAGCAAGCAGCTCTGAACTACTCAAGAGTCTCAATGGTTTTACTTTTCGTCTTGAGATGCCTGGAAGCGCTGACTTTTGTTGTCACTCTGGGCCCAAGGCGCCCCTTCTTTTCCCACGCTGACCTCTGCCTTTTCTGTAGGTGGTTTACATAGCAGAGCGCAGGGTTCCAGCTCTTCCGCAAACTTCTTCACAGCAGAAAGGGCAAACAAGGTTTCCCATAACTTCCTGTTTCTCAACAGAGCTATGGGTCATCCCCCTCCCCCATGTTTTTGTTTTTCTGCTCATTCTCATGGAAAAAAAAAAAAAAACTGGCGATTATTAGAAAAGGAAAATTACTTAATTAAAAGCAGGGGAAGCATCAGAAACTGACATGGGGCTAAATGTGCTTTCGTCTTTTTTTTTTTTCCTTCCACCACGCATTTGAGAAGTTTGTATGTGTTCTGTGCATTTTGTAAGTAGCAGGTGAAAAATGTAACATATGTATCATCTTTTCTTCCTGTGTTTTATGGTCTTATTATTATGATTATTATTTTTATTATTATTATTTTTTAGAAGTCAGATGCCCTGGAGAGGTTTAACTCTAGGGTTATTGTGTGAAGAAGAGTATTTGGGATTAAGATTTTCAGATGAGGTTAAAGCTTTTTGGTTGACCCTTGACATGACCTTTAGCTGGAAGCACCTCCAGAGGAGGAACTTGGGCTTATTCATCTTTATGACCCCTGCACACCTCATCACAATGCTGGGTACAAAGTAGACACTCAGAAAGTTTACTGAGTCCGTGTGGGTTGAATGTCTTAACCCCAAACTTTCATTTACCATCTGTAAAGATAGTAACAGTAATACAGAGCCAAGAAAATCATTTATAACTTCTAAAAGCCCTTCAAAATTAGTTCCAGAACGATCCTCAATGACTTCTTGAAAGAACAAGATGTGGTATGGACAGTTTTAAACTCTGACCTGTTTGATACAAACTTTCTCCTTCCCTATGTATGAATATATTTCCAAAAAGTGTAAAATGTTATGTTTCAGATGAGGAGGTTTGCCAGAAGGACCCGCCAACTACATAAAACGAAAAAACAGTCTCCTGGAAACAACCAGGTAATTGACTATTATTTGCCAAGCAGTGATGGGAAAATTCTATGTAAGTCTGAAAGACGCCCCAGTGTCCAGACAATAATGTAGAAATCAAAATATGTCCCGACACAGTCTCTGTAACCGTTAATATGGACATGGATGCATTCTTTAGTACGGAGCTCTTCACATCCTCCAGGCTGGGAAAATTTTACAGGAGGAGCTCTTTGCTCCTAAGAACCAACATGTAGATAGAATCCCCTACCATCCCTGTCTTAAAGAGTCTAGATATTCAAGACAGCTAGGAATTCCTTTCCATATCCCAACACCACATTTGTTGAACATTTCTTTCATTCCAGGCCAGACCACTGTGTTCAAAATTCCACCCAGATTGTTTGCCAATATACACACTTGGTGAAGCAGTTTGCGAATAATGCAAATCACTCCGTGTGTAATTAAGGAGCGTGCAGTTGTTTCTATCTGTAACTGAGAGGGGAGAAAGACCCCCGAGAAATATGTCACTTACAAGACAGGACCTTAACTTCCTTATCCCTTTAAGTATTGTTGGAGGGAATGATGGGCTCCCAGCAGATCTTGTCTCAGGCTTACCTGGATACTCACTGGAAATCTATCCAAACTTCTTTAGAAAATGAAATTGGACCAGAATTGTATTGAGATGAGAGTTCTCAGACCAATTCCCTGTATTTTGCTCCTATCAACCAAGGAATATAAAAAGAGATTTTCTTAGATTATTCCAACTGCAAGTAGAAGCTGAAAGGGAAGGAGGGGGAGGAAATAGTGAAGGGAGATGAGATGCAAGTGCAGATGTCGATGAACGTGGGGAAAAAAAAATCCTATTTTATTTTTGTGAATCTGGGATTTATGCAGAGCAGATCGGACATCCTATTATTGGCTGCGTTAAACAGGATGCAGAATACCAGAGCCGAAGTGAAACCTGAGCAAAGCCTCTGATGGGACATGGAAGAGTCAGAGTCAGAGAAAAAGAGAAGGCAAGAAGGAGAGGGTCAGAGAGACAGAAAGGAGGGCAGCTCTGGGAGAAGACATGAGAAATTAGAACAGGAGCTCAGAGCACTCGGGAGAGCGGGGGAAATGACAGTTGAAATTAGAACAGGAGCTAAGAGGAGCAAGCAGAAGGGGACGGCAGGAACCAAGAAATTTAAGGAGGGGAGAACCAACTCAGAGAAGTGGCCAGAAAAAAAAGCCAGCTGAACTTCATTAAGAGGGCCGGGGACTCCTGTGTGTCCGGTAGACCGACGTCCCCCGTATGGCTCAAAACAAATTGTCATTCCGAAATGACTCTGAAAGCGGGAATGGAATGTGCCCCAACAAATCAATATTAAATTTTATGCCTGCTGCACCTCTCAAAAGCCTCAAGAAGACATTGATTCAAGTAAGTGTCACCTTTTTTTTCAATGGCCTTTGATTATTCACTTTGAACAGTTTGGGAGCCGAAGTTGGCACCCCGACCTGGGGACCAGGGAAGACGGAGGGGCGGTTTCCAGTTGTGGCTGCGAGGATGAGGATGCGTTGTCAAGGCTGCAGGGGGAGGGATGCTCTGGCGGGAGGAAGTGCTCGTCCCCGTCCAACTGCAGCGCGCGTGCCTGTGGAAGCCGGGGGTTTATGGTTTTCATTATATAGCAGGCATTCTTAGACAGCCGAGAGGAGTTGTGCTTTCTGGCTGGTCTGGCGGAGCGGTTTGGGGCACTTTATAAGTTGTATTTTGTGGCCAGTTTTGCAAGAGGAAAATCCCTGATTCCAGTGGACCAGCTTGGGAAAACGGGACGATGGGTTTCCCAGATGAGGCCTTTGCGCAACTGGCCAATCCGGACTCTGGCTTTGCAGTTTTTACTGACTGCCTTATCTCTTGCAGTCAGACACCCATCCTGGGTCGGAATTGGTTATATCGGGTACAGGTTTGTGTCTGGGAATGAATGAATAGGATTTCAGGCTGGGACACATGATATAGTCATGCTCTGTTTCTCTGTACCTTAAAGTCAGCCTGGAGCCTGGGTTTTAGGCCAAGAATACTGTCTCCATTGTACCAACAATCTCCATGTATTGCTGATTTGTTTCTTGGAAAGTGGTCCACCATCCTGCCTCCTCCATACTTGATTCAAATGCCACCTTCCCAAGAATCTGATACTGGCCAAGATTCTTCCTTCATCTGAGTCTGACTCTCTGGTTCTGGTGACCCATTCTATCTTCTAAATTTCCTTGATTTCCTGGATTCGGCTTCTTGATAACCCCTGAGCGGGAATCCCTCTCATCAGCTGGTCCTGAGAAACCCAGTCCCACCCTGGGAGGGTCACCTGTTCAACATCTCATCATGTTGCAGAGATGGTGTGAAATATCCTGCTGTGCCTAGTCCCAGGGCTTACTTGGTGATAATATATTTACATGTTATCCAGTTATCTACTTCATTATATCTACCTTTCCCCAACTGGCTCTTGCTTTCTGCCTATGAATGAGTCCATGCCTCCCCAGTCCTGGAAACTGATTCATTCATTCCTTCAATAGATGTTTATTAAACCAATATGATGTCCTAAGTGGTGTGCTAGGTACCATTGATTTTGTATTAAGTTGATTTTTACTCATTCCAATATTTATTACATATGAAGCATGTGTTGGGTGCTTTTCTAAGTGGTGGCACTAGAAGACAGTGATGAAGATGATGATGAAGATAGTTCCAGTTTTCATAGTTCTTACATGCAATTGAGTGGAAGCAATAAATATACAAACAAATAAATATGGTAGGTCAGATGATGATATGGAAGGAAATAAAGCAGGGTAAGGGATAGGGAGTGCTGAAGGTGGGCACTAATATGTTGTATAGGAAAGGCCTCACAATAAGGTGACATTTGAGCAGAGACTTAATAAAGTAAGGGGAACCTTATATAGATTTAGGGGGAAGAATGTACCAGTAAGGGGAAACAGAACATGCAAAGGTCCTGAGATATTTTCTTTGTTAAAGGAACAGGTAAGAGGTCTTGGTAGCTAGTGTAGAGAGATCTGAAGGTAGCGAAGGAGAAGATGAAGGCAAAGAATGACCAGGGCCCAGATCGGGTAGGGTCTTGAAGTCATTAAAAGGACTTTGGCTTTTATTTTTGGTGAGGTCTAGAAAACCACTAGAGGCCTCTGAGCAGAAGGATGGCACAAACAGTATTTTCAAAGAATCACTCTGGCTGTTCCATTGAGAAGAGACTCTGGATAGGCAGGTATGGAAACAGAAAGCCCAGGTAGAAGCTGACTGTAATAGTCCAGGCAAGAAATGATAATGACTTGGACCAAGGTGGTAGCAATGATGTGGCACAAAGTGATGAGATGCTAGATATATTTAAGAAGTTGACAGCATTTGCCGATGGACAGCTTTGGAGATGTGACAACAAGAAAGGAGATGAATATCTGCATTGATTTCAGCTGGGAAACTGGAAGGATGAAGTTGTTATTTGCTAAGGAAAGACTGGAGAAGAAGCATACTTGGGAGATCGGTGCTTAACGGGGAGTCGTGAATTTGGTTCTAGGAATGTTGACTTTGAGACACTGTATGAATATCCAAGTAGATATGACAAGTAGATACATAAACCTGGGGCTGAGGGTAGACATCCAGGCTGGAGATATGATTTTGGAGTCACCAGTATTTAGGTGATACTTAAAGCCAAAGGCAAGATGGGATCACATGGGAAGTCAGTGCAGATAGAGATGGAGAAGTGGAAAGAACAGTTCCTGAGGTGTTCTAATGTTTCCAAGTCAGGAGGGTAAGGAAGTACCAGCAACAAAATGGAAAGTAGTGCCCAGTGACATGGGAAGAGAACCAAAAGAAAATGGTGTTCTGGGGCGCCTGGGTGGCTCAGTTGGTTAAGCGACTGCCTTCAGCTCAGGTCATGATCCCAGGGTCCTGGGATCGAGTCCCACATCGGGCTCCCTGCTCTGCGGGAAGCTTGCTTATCCCTCTCCCTCTCCCCCTGCTTGTGTTCCCTCTCTCGCTGTGTCTCTCTCTGTCAAATAAATAAAATCTTTGGAAAAAAAAAAAAGAAAATGGTGCTCTGGAAGCCAAAAGAAGTGCAAATTTTGAGAGGAGGGAGTGATCGAATGAGAACTACAAACCAACTCATGAATTTAGCCATGTGGAGGTCACTGTTGCCCTTAATAAGAGCTGTTTCAGTGAAGAGGTGAGGTGTAAGATGCTGATTTCACTGAAGTCAAGAGAGAGGAGGAGACAAATTAGAGTCAGCGAGTAGAGGCAGAGAAATGGAGTACGACCTGGAGAAAGATGTGGAGTCATGGGAGGCTGTTTTTCAGGTGTGACAAATTAAAGCATCCCGTGCAAACAAGGCAAAATGGGCGGTGCTGGAGGAATGTTCTGGGGTAGAAAGGAAAGGATGGGATATAGCAGACAAGAGGTTGGCTTGTTTAGACCAATTATTCATAGTACCAGGAGGAGAAGGAGATTGACTCTGTGGGTACAGACACAGGGTAAAACATGTGGAAATTGTCCTCTGATTGCTTCTATTTTTTTTCCCATTAATGTGGTGGGCAACTTCGTAAGCAGAGAGTGGGAATAATGGAGGATATACTAATGGTTTAGGTGAGATGACCTGAGCCAGAATTGTGACGAGGGAGATAATGACCAAATTGAAGAAATGTTACTGGCTTACTACTCAGCCTCCCCCCTTTTCCATGGCTAAACTTCTCCGGTGGAGGGCGGGGGGGGTGAGGCTCCTGGTATTCACAGCAGCTTCATTGACGCCCTTCATCCTAGCTCCCAGCATTTTTGGTGAAATCTTCTGTCTTTTCTCCATCTCCAATTCAGTATGCTTTTCTCATTGTCCGAAACATTTCTGCCACAGGCCCTTTCCACACCCTAGACTTCTTGAAACTTGCTCCCTTCGTTTCCATGACCATGTTAACAACTGGGTCCTCTTACCATCATTTTTTTTTTAATGTTTTCATTAAGTTTCTGTCTTCCTAGTGGTTGTGAAATTACCCTACCCCCCAAAGTCTGCCCTTTCCTTCCGCCGGAGTCAGCCACACCCCTGTGGCCAATATCCCCATGCCGGTGTCTCCAGCCAGACCTTTCCTGCTTTTTCACTCTCCATTCCAAACGACCTGCTAAGCATTTCTGATACACTCTTTTGTGGTTGTTGGGTCCAACCGGGATATTTTAAGCCATCTTTATCATTTTTCTTCCCAGATCAGCTCCTCATCCTGACTTGGCCACTGTTAGTTACGTCACCATGAGTCTGTTAGATCTCTATGTCTGTAAGTGAGATGTTGATTTGACCTTTCCTCTTCCTCTCGTCCTCACGTCCTGTCAGATCCGCCATGGGCGGAGCCTATCTTTACAGCCTGTACCCCTCAAGAAGTCTCAGACGGGGTCTTGAGGATAATAGTGACTTGGCTAATATGCTTAGTGATGCTCAGGTAATATTTATAAAACCTGACTATTGCCCATACAACGCTGCCATACAGTCTTCGTTCACTGCTACCAGCCTTACCCACAGTGCCATTTGCTTTGGACCTACCGCTCTTGCCACAGTACAATGGCTGACCCATAAAAGAGGCCATCCCCATCTGCAACAGGTCAGGAGAGGTGTAGGAAATAGAATGACTAAATGTTATAGAACTTACTGTCTATTCAGAAAACATTCTTCATGGCTTTGCAAATAGGCAAAAATGTCAAGTCAGCTCTACTCCGAAGCCATTTGGAGACATTTGCAACAATGAATGCATGATTAAGTTTATTGTTTAGTAAACAGTTTGCAGACATTAGCCAAGGAAGAGTTATGGCGGCAGTTTACAAATAATTGCAATTGAATTAGTCAGACTGCAATGCAAAAGCAGTGCAAATAACTTGCCAATTCCATAAAATGTTTTGCAAACAGATTCTGGGAGAAAATAGAATGAGAAAAGCAGAAAATCCAGAAAGGGGTGTTTTCAGAGTCTGTTCTGCAGATACTGATAGACGATGCCCTCATATTTTACCACAAGAGTGAAGTGCTAGTGAAAGGTGTTTATTCTGCTTTGCCTCAGAAACAGAACTTGGCGCAGACTTCAGAGGAGTAAGAAGGGGGCATGACTCAGTGATTTGGCAGTTCACAAACTCAATCTAACAAAAGTGGCAGAATAATTTTAAAATAGAGTATATGTGTTTGGACGGAGAGGCATGGGTGGGGGGGTCGGGATCTTGGCTTATGGAAACGGACCCCTCAAAGCACTAAGCAGTGCATCGCCAGAATAAACCTTTACCCAGTATCAGACAGCTATTGTGTATCTGGAGTATACTTAACTGAAGTTACTTATTTTATTAAATCTAGATTATGTAACATGTATATTTATATTTTTTAAACATATACTAAATTTTATTAAACATATACTATTAACATATACTTC